ATAGATAGATAGATAGATAGATAGATAGATAGATAGATAGATAGATATTAGATATATAGATATATCTATATACATCTGGCAGAACAAACAAAGCGAAGTTTATCCCTAACATCAGTGACTGTTGGTGGCCTCTTACTCACTCTTAGCCCAACCCACCTCACAGGATTGTTGTGGGGGAAATAGGAGGAGGAAGAAGTATTAGGTATGTTCACTGCCCTGAGCTACTTATAAGGTAATAAAGGTGAGATTAAAAAATCTAATAAATAAATCATCCAATTTCCTATGAAAACTTAAGATTAATTACATTAAACTGAAATTATTTTAAAAAGTACACATGAATGATATTCCATTAATATTTAAGATATTTTTCTCCTATTTTGAACTTGTAGATGCTTATTTGTCTAGAGCTCAGATATATAGAAAACAGGGAAATAATCACTTGGCAAAGATAAATTACACTTTGGCACTGAGATATAGACCCACAGATCCTGAAATATATTACAAGAGAGGTGAAATCCATGAAGAAGAGGGTGAATTAATACTGGCAATGGAAGATTATACAAAGGTATGCATTATTATCTTTAATTTCATTATATATTGACTAGCTCTTAAATAATTACATGATTAAATCTATGCACCAAAAGAATTAATTAAAAGAGCAATTTTTTAAAAATAATAATTTTAACAGTAGTCATAATACCTCTGAAACCCAGGTAATTTATAATGTAATTTGTATTATAGCAAGATGGTCTGCTGTTTAAAGAAAAACAATAGAAGTAAATAATTCTAAAATTAAAATAGTAATAAAATAATTAAAAACAAATAAATTAAAAAGAATACAAAAACAAAAAATTCAAAGGGCCAACTCGAGGGACCACTGGCTCTTTTTCTGCCATCAGGTTTCTATGTTTCTAAAAAAAACCCCAAAGCTGGATAATCTTCAAACTGTCTATGTCTGCAAATTTAAAAAAAAAAATAAATACATAAAACAAATGGATAAATAGTTTCAGATTGTTCCTTAATCCCCAAACATTGATTATATGAAAATAATAAATATTACTATAATAATATTACAAATAACAACAGCAACAATGATAGTTTTATCAATCTTTTGGGGTCAACATGAACCACTTTGGGATACCCTGATATATGTTAACACCGAGAGCTCCATCCAGGTACAGTCATGTGAAAAAGTAAGTACACCCTCTTTGACTTACATGGTTTTATGTATCAGAGAATAGTAAAAATCATCTGGTCTTTAGCAGTTCTTAAAATTCGATAAATATCACCTCAGATGATATTTACACAATGTCATAATTTCTTTTACAAAAGTAAGCCAAAAGGGGGAAACGGTGTATTGTTGTTCATCATACCTCCTTTTTGGATGATTTTTACTATGATCTGATACGTAAAACCGTAAAATTCAAAGAGGATGTACTTACTTTTGCATGTAACTGTATGTATGGATTGGGGGAAGAGTTGCCCAGGCAGATGAAGCCATTCACCCACACCTCCCATGAGTAAAACCCAAGCCTCCACCCACTTTTATCAGTTTTCCTGCAACGAAAGAGGAACCAATGAAGCTTCCTTCATATTAGCATACCTGCTTTAGGTGGCTGGGTTCCTATTCCTATATGATAGTGAAAAGCTAGCTGAGAGAACCTCTGATGGTGAGGGAAGCATTGTAGCTTCCACTTTTCTTCCAGTAACTTTCAGGAACTCAGCAGTCTCTTCTCTGTTCTTCCAAATAGCTCCTTGATCAATTGGCTTTGGAATTTCCTCCTTGTGCTTCTCAGCCGCTGAACAATCAAATGAGCAATAGGCCACCATCACCTGTTGAAGACCACAAGGGGTAGTTCAGCACCTGCAGGCTATTGCACAGATGTCTGCTGAGTCTGGAACTTACCCAAACTTGTTATATTCTGAACAAAGTAAATTATTCAAAAGCACTGTAAATGTCAGCATTGCAATATTGCTATAATGCAATTTTATATGTTTATGTTCAGAAGTAAAATGTCACAATACACAAAAGGATTTACTGATAAGAAAACACGAACAGCATCAATGCCTCTGCTATTTCAGGCAGAAAACAAATCACAAACTAAGATGATGATTCAATAAAAGCAATTAATTTATTACCTTTTTAATTACTGCTGTTTGCATTGTTTAGAATTCTGATGAATATTAAAATAAGAGTAAACTTTATCAAGTGTTTATGTATTTTTAAAATCAATGTAGTGCCTTTACTATGATCCCCAAAGAATTGATGCACGTATGAAACATGGAGTATATTATTTTAACAAATCAAATTGGGCTGTAGCTATGAATGATTTTACAACTGTGATTAAAAATGATCCAAAACATGCAGAAGCAAGGTAAGCACAAATTATGTTTTATTCAAAATATTTGTAGTTTAAACTAATCTGCAGATATCTAATATAATGTCATATTTCATTATTTGTAAGCATCCACAATTAACTCCTCCTCTTCAACTCTGCAAGTTTAAGGACCTGTAAAATAGGTTTAAAGGCATTTTTATTTGACTAGCAGATTGGTGAATGGCTTACAGTATATCTGGTATAAATGATATAAATCAGTGGTGGGTTTCTACCGGTTCTGTCCATCTCTGTAGAACTGGTAGCTCTGAGGAGCAGCAGACATAGAACTGGTTCTATGTCTGCTGGTGTTTTTGCCCACCTGCCCGCTCGGACTCTTACCTGACCTTTGTTTCCTGCTTTTTCAACTTCAGCTGCCATGCGAGGCACAGCTGCAGTTTAAAAAGCAGGAAAAAAATGCTTTTTGAAAGGCTGCTTCTCTGCATGCAGCGTGCTGATGACGATTTACAGGCACGCCAGCGCAGCATGCAGGGAAACACATCGTAAATCACCGAACCTCGTAAATCATCTCATCAATCACAGAACCGGGAGTTAACCCTGTCAGATCCCACCCCTGATATAAAACAAAGATTAAATTGATCTTGTGGCAGCTATTTTTAAAACTATAAACATGCATAAAAAGCTCAAAACATATTAGGATTGTGGATTTCATTGAAGATGTTGGATTACTAATAGTCCCTGCCTAAACTTGCACCCTCTGTTAATGAATAATAAATAAGTAAATGAGATGAGATTGTTCAGAGAAAGCTTCTCGATCGTGTAAGATTCTATTTCAATCCTCTGAATTTTTCATCTATTTTTATTCCCCCCAAAATTAATTTTGTCCTGTACTACTTTATTCAATGGAGTAGGAGCTGTCTTTATCCACAAAATGAACTCTTAAGAAGATCTATGGAATATTCCTCCTGGTCATTAAAAGAAGCCATTGGGAATACTCCTAATTGAGGGAAAAATAAACTAACTACTTTATAAGTCTTTTATGGGATTTAAGGAAAATGAAGCTTTTCTTACCAAGATAGAAGCCTGAAAACAGTTGAATCTTAATTTAGTGACCCCTAAACATGGCACCACTAAGTAATTTGCTAAGGAAATTTACCATTGCTACTAATTTCTGTGAAACAGAAACAATGCATTTGCTGAAATATTTGAAATAAGTTAACAATTCCCAAATGAGAATATGGAATAAGGAGAGTTCTAGCTTATTAAGAGAAATACAACCAACTGTAAACGGCAGATCAACATTGAATGGTAAAAATCTTCCTATGTTTTTGGATGAAGTATGGATGAAATAGGGAGGATTTTGTAGAGCATTTGAGTGTGGGAATGACATGATGCAAATCCTAGAATGTCTTGAATGAAAGCTTGAGCTGATAATTACTTATTGTTTAGTTAAACTTATATGATGACTTGGAAATATAAAATATCAGTATAAACTATATCAGCAATCATTGCACACACAAGTATATTTGTTTTCATGGAAGTGTTTCTTTTATATCTTAATTATATAAGAAGCATTTAGGGAAAAATCTTCCTCCTAACTCTTTAGGTCATATTTTATCTTCTAAGGTAAGAACTTCCCCCACCTTTCTATCCTTCTGCAAGAGCCTGAAGATCTGGATGTGCCAGGTGGCCTGGGGACCAGATGGGGAAATTCCACACTGGCTGCTGGATTGATGGCAAACTTCACCTATCCCCTTCCTCTCTGCTCTCCCCCCATCCATCTTTTTGTTATAATATTGAGCTATTCTCATGTTCTTTTTCATTGTTTATTTTATTGTTCTATTATTTTACTCCTGTTCTATTTACACTTTTTTCATTTCTTCCTTTTTATTGTTGGAAGCCGCTCTAGAGCAACCCCACGGCGAGATAGGTGGCAAATGAATTTAACAAGTACATATAACAAATACTAAAAAATTATGTCTAGTTAAAATATAAATAAATATAGATATATGAATTTATATGTATATATTTATAAACCCAAATATAAATTTATAAAAATATAATTTATACTTATATTTAAAATTTTAATTCTTACAGAAATAAATAGTTGTTTTGTTGGATCAGATTCTTGTTAAAATCCTGCTGACTTTTTAAAGTTTTAAGTATAATGTCTTGGAAATAATGATGCAACTTTCTTTCCAGAACCTACAGAGGAAGAATTTACATTAAGCTAGAGCAATATCAAAATGCAGCTGCAGATTTAGCTGCTGCAATTCATTTGAATCCCCGTAACTGGATAGCATTCTATTACAGAGGTTGCATTTTGAGGAAGATTGATCCAAAACAGTCTCTACAGGACTTAAGTGTTTCTGGTATTACTACTTTAATTTTCATTAAAATATGAATTGCATTTATGAAAAAATTATTTGTTTCAATTAATTTGTTTTCTATAATTGTGAGAAGAATATTGTATGCATTTTGAAAAGTATATTTTTGCTTTTATAAGTAATTTTGAACTGAAATTACAGAACTCCTAATTATCTATATCTTGTCTATCTAATTATTTGTAATAGTTGCCGGTTTCTTCACAAGATTCTGTATATTATTTATTTAAATGAAAATAATACTAATGTATCATTTTCTATGCCGTTTGTCTGAAATATACACTGAATTGGTATACACTTTTCATATAAGAGTCAGTTAATATGATATTTTAACAGTTGATATGAGGGCCAATTTGGTGAGTTCTAGTCCAGCCTAAGGCACAAAGCCAGCTGCGTGATTTGGGACAGTCTCTCTCTCTCTCTCTCTCTCTCTCTCTCTCTCTCTCTCTCTCTCTCTCTCTGGAAACCACTTCAGCAATCTTGCTAAGAAAACCACAAGGACTTTTCCAGACAATGGCCAGGAGTCAACCCTTACTTGCAGCCACACACGTAAAAGTTGATAATGCTATTTTCCCAAACATAACTATTTTACATGAACATATCCAAGAAAAATTGGTTTATACAAGGTCAAAAACTGGTTTGCTGCTATAGCGGTGATAATTCAGGTATTTCAGGATATTTCATTTTGTACAAATCTGTGAAGGTTTCTGTTACCTTTCTAATAGTCACACAAGCATGCACAGAGATGTAAGGACACTTTTAGATATTACTAGATTCTGCTTCAAATATTGGTGAGCTATTTTATAATTGGGACTTCAATCAGTATTAATATGGTTTAAGTTTCTTGTATATAGAAAAATATTATTTACCACTTTCCTATCAAATCATTAATTTTTCTGAAACTCAACTTAAATTCAAGATTATAAAAATCTTGAAACTTCTACCAGATGAATGAAGAGCAAATTAACTTTTAAAATCTATTTTATTTTATTCAAAAGGAAGTTAAAATACAAAATAAAAAAATAAAAAACATAAATATAAAACAATGAAGATTTTTTTAAAAAGTGTATTGAAAAGAAAAAAACTCCAACATATATACACATTATCCCCCCACCTGAATACTGATTAATACATTACTAAAATATTGGTTCCCACCCCTTGCGAAAGAGCCCCTCCAATTTCTAAACTAATAAATCTATTTGCAAATTATTGACTTGTCATCTATATACTATATTAATGAGAAAATAGTTAACAGGAAGAACAATAATAATAATAAAAGACAAAGTTAAAATTTCAAAATCCCCTTTTAACCAATTGTTATTGTAATCAACTTGTAGAAAATTTGCTGTTGCATTTTATCTATCCTAAATCATCCCCCAAATTAAGACTGGATCAAATATTGTTTATTCCTTAATGGGATATGTTGTCAAATTTTGTCTTAATTAAATATAATAAATTCAGTCTTCACAGTAGGTCGATCTTCCAAACAAAGTCTAGATAGTGTGATTTCCAGTTAAGTGTAATAAGTCCTTTCTCGAATCTCCCTCAGTTCTAGGAAAAAACAATTTGTCATTTCTCCCTTCAGCCAAATTACTAGTATTGTGAAAGAATCCCAGGAGATGTAAGTGATTGGCTGAGTTAGTTCTCCATCTGTAGGGTCCATATTTCTTTGGTCTGAAACTCTCACATCAGAGTCCTTTTGTGTAGCATATCTAAAACTACATGCCTTTGTATATTTTCCATGGCCATTATCACTTCATCAAACTATTTAGAAAACTTTCAACTAAAAGTTGCATGTTACCAGAAAGTCTTTTCTCAAATTTCAGTAACTATTGCTTATCTATAATACGATACATTGTTGCTCTGTACAACTTGATCAGGGAATACTGAAGCAGAAGGAAATAGGAAATGTATTTTCTAGATATTTCAATCTAAGATCAAAAGAAAAATTTAAAAATCCTGCAGATGTTTTACAAATACAAAAAATGCAAAAACCCTGTGGTGAAAGTCCAATATTCAAATGAAAGCACTTCACTATCCAAAAACACACCATGTTTCCTTACAGGAAACGTGAAAGTTATTCAAAACAACAACATAAATCAAAGGGGAAGAAAGAATAGCTAGAATCTAGTAGGGGTTGAAATAAATCAGCATTCAACCAGCTGGTCAACTTTTAAAGGCAAAAAGCAAAGTAAAATAATACATTCACAATACATCCAGGTGGGTCCACCACCATCCAAAAGTCATTTTGGGTCATTCTTAAGTGCTTCCAAATCCAGGGAGCAGCACTGCTGGAGGACCAGTTTTGGCAGCAAAAATAGCAGATCATCAGCAAGGGAGAAAAAAGGCTCTTACCATACAACAGCCATCTTGGGGAGATGAAGAGCATATTAACTTGAAGAATATTATTAAAACATACAAATGAAACTTCAGTTTACCAGACCTTAATGCAGTAGATTTTTCATTCAACAGACTAAATTCTACTATGCTTTACTTCCTTTACATTACATCATTATGATGCAATTGGCAGTATTTGTGTTATTTGTGTGATGTAATGCAAGTAACATTTGTGTAGTGATGTCACATATATGATGTAACATTGTCTTGATAATGCTTTTTTCAATTGATCCCAGAAAAGAATTGCCTCCTTCAGATTAATTTATTAAAATGTGATTTATTAAAGTTGGATTTAAAGGCACATTTAACAGGTGAAAATTTAGGGTATTCTTCTCTTCCAGTCCTTCTCAATCATAAATTTGACAATATTGGTGCTTTCCTTCATCGTGGGATCTTGTACGCAGAATTGAAACAGTGGCACCTGGCTATCTGTGATTTTGAAAATGCAATTGCTTTGGACAGGTATTTTTTTACTGGCTTGCTCTCTCTTTTTAATTACTTACACTTTAATGTAGCATTTAATCATACAAACCAGTTGCAAAAACAACACATGCCACAATAATTTAAGACACTGAATAACTTTAACAGCCATTAGAAATTATTTTTTTTTCAAATTTAGAAGTGTCCAATGGGGTAGCACCCTCTAATATAATATCACTTATAAATCTTGAAATTACAGGAATGTTATTATGATAACCTCATAAAATGAATCTAGTATTCTTTTCTATTTTATCAGGTACATGACTAACCCCAAAGCACTCTTAAAACAACAGGAAATTCTGCCATTTTCTACTGCAATTGGTGTTATCCATTCTCCAGTAAAACTCCTTTGACTATAAACTTATTTTTCTACAATAGCAGACATGTTTTTCTTGTTCTTTGGGAATAAGGGTGAAAATGAAAGGCGGCAGCATTGGTTCTGTGACAAACACTTTTTTAAAAACTTACACATCTGTGCTTGAAGACAGTAAATTCTATAAAATGACTTGCTGCAGAATGAAATATTTATACAATTTTGTCTTTGTATTAGGAGTTTTACAACACCTTATATAAACATTGGATTGATTATGATGTTGCATTCAGATCAGTATTTTGATGCTATTTTACGGTTCACTGAAGCCATTCGGGTTGATCCATTAGATGTTATACCTTACTTGTGCAGGGCACAAGCTTACCAAAAGGTATCTATTTTACATAGTTACGAATTATAAATATTTATTCCCAAATAGCCGTATGTCTGCTTGTTTACCATGGAATAGCGAGAGATATTTGAATCAGGGTTTTTGTCTTTCTGAATTGTTTGTGAACACGTCTAGTTTTAAAATTATATAACTGAAATGGGACAGGCCTTCAGGTTTCTCATCAAAAGATAGGCAGATGCATTCAATTTCTATTACAGAATCCAAATATTCTTCAACAATCATATTCCATGATTGTTTCTCTTTAACTATTTCTCCTGGTTTGCCGATGCTTTCTCTGCCTGGACTTGTCTAATTGCAAACCTGGGGACCAGAATCCTAATTATTTTCTTGCTTCTCGTAGCAAACCCCAATGTTTGCACTTGTTTCCTCATTTACCCAACTTTATTGCTACATCCTGTTTGCACTGAACTTATAATTTGACTAAAGATTTCCAACATCATTGATAAAAAAGATTGATATGAACATATTATGTTCAAACAAAAATAGAATTAAGAAGGAATAGTAATTGGAGAAGTCGATTTCCTAGAGAGAGAGAGGAAGGGCATTTTTATTATTAGGCAGTGATGCTGATGATGTGTCTGCAAGTAATCCAAACCAATATTTTCTCCTTCCCTTACTGAGGAACTTGTTCTGCAAAGTGGGCCCTTCTCCAAACTAGATCCTCTACCTTTTCTTTTCTCCTCTGTGCATCGTTATTCAAATATTGTGTCACCTTCACAGTAATCCAGGTTTTGTCATAATATTCTGTTTTACTAATCTCTTCTGTTGAAAATACATTGTGGTGGATTACATACTGTAACATGTACTGCAATATCAGATCAATGGTATAATCAACTACATACTAAGGGAGAATGGGAAACTGAACAGTCACAGTTTTAGGGAAGAGGGATTTTAAAATTTCATCTAGTCTGAAGAAAGCCAGTTTAGTGTAGTTATGAAGATATCAGATTAGAAAAAGGGAGGTTGTGAAATCTAGTCCTGCTTTAGGCATGAAACCAGTTGAGTTATCTTGGGCCAGCCATTCTCTCTCAGCCCTACGAAGGAGGCAATGGCTAATGACTTTCACAACATTGCCAAAAAATCTTCAGGGACTAGTTTAGGCAATTGCCAGGAGTCAAGACTGTATGGAAAGCACTAAACAAAAGGAGGGTGTGTGTGATCTAGTTTGAAGGAAAAAATATTTGTTTTTAAACAGAATGTACTTAATGTCCTACTTAATGTCTCAGCATCCATGACTGAGAAATAAAAATGTCTTTTTTTAAAAAAAAAACAGGTTCATGATTTAAAGAATTCAGTTAAAGACATAAATAGAGCCATTCACCTCCATCCCAACTTACCCCATTTATTCTTAATAAGGTAAGCATTTCTCAAGCATCTTGCTTAATTTTGTTGTCTTACTTTTAATTGTAGTTAATTGTAGTCCATATAATTGTAGTAATGTGTATCATTAAGTCTTAAGTTCAAGATTTCTTTTTATTTGCAGTATAAGAACACATTTTCAGTGTATAATAGCAAGGGCAAAAGATGGAAAACCAGGTTGCCCCTCACATCTTTCTCATCTTTATGTAGTTTCCTGATTGCAGAGATGAGAGGGTCAATGAACAGACTGTAGGTCTTCAAAAAGATTATCTCCTTAGAAAAGTGCTCAATAATTATGTTTCATAGAAATATTAATAATGAATCATGAATGCTATTTAAATAAACTGTTTTTAGATGAGAAGTTTTGGAGTGGATAGGAGATGAAAGCAGTACCTGTTTTGCAGTTCTTTAAAGCAGCCATAACATTTGTTGGGATTATGTAACTGCTGTTTGGAGCTAGTAATGTTCTTTAAAGAATTGTAGAGAAGAGCTGCATTTATATTTCACGAAGCATCTTTTTGAAATGGAGTCTAGAATTCAAATTAAATTTGATCATTAAAATCAATAGAATTAATTATGTACTAATTAAATTGATATGCCACTTCTGAAAAAATAAAAAAAACATATCTTAAGTAAATGAACTATTTTTGATGTGTCATTAAATGTCTGACTCAGGAAAAAGATGAATGTTTTTTTGGGGGGGTTGTAATTTTTGTATATTTAATAGAGCATTTCTTACCATAAAGGTGATTTAAATGAATTTTGGAAATACTAAAAATGGTTTCTTATTTCTACAGAGAAGTTCCACAGGGAGAAAGGGATGCAGCTAGCCTTCATATGCCTCTATAACTGTCCATGATCATAGGGTTAGCATAGAATCCTTCCTCCTTTTGTGTTAGGACTTGAAAAAAATGTAGTGAGCTCCTGAGATTTAGTTATTTAAAATTGCAGGCTTTCCACTGAAACTAATAGTGGATTAAATAGAATGCTTGATTTGGATTGTCTCTTATTAATATATATATATATATTTAATACGTTCACAAATATACTGAGGAATTTGTTGAAATATTTTATTACAGGGGACAGTATTTACTACAAATGAAGCATTTTCAACTTGCAAGTTTCTGTATACACCAAGTGGCAGAAATGGACAAAGGTATAGCTCTTTCAAAGTACTGTGCAATTTTAGTTAGATTCAGCATGTTTTTTTCCCCTTGCTTTCATTTTTGTATAGTACAGGAATCTCCAGACTGGTACCTTTAGGATTTGTGGACTTCAACTCCTCAGCCAGCCATGGCATAGTAGATCCACTTAACTAATTATAATTTTTTGAGATATCATGGGAGCTCTATAAACAACACATACTTCAAGTACTATGGCTCTCTGGATCTATTACAGTTTAACAATAGTATGTAAAATACAAGATAGATTTAGTGTTATAATTGATATGCCATACTTTTTTTGTTTGGATACTTTCTCAATGAAGGCGAACACTCTCTCTTTCCATTGTCTGTATACCAAAGTCTGTAGTAATAATAACTTGGTCTATTACCATTACATTTATTATTATTTAAATCTCCTACAGGATCTCTTGGATGTTCACTTGTTCAAGAAGCACTTGTGCAGTCATTTTGTCAAAACTATAATAAGGCTATTGAGTGTGCAATTGCAGCCACAAGAAGCCAACCTGAGCCTGCTATATATTGTCTACTTGGAAAAATCCAGATGAAAGCCAAAAAATTTAAGGTTAAGAAAATAGTCATGTTCATGAGTTTTTGTTAAATCTTTTAAAAAGGCAAACCCCTAAAGAATGAGTGTTGTAGAAAATGGATGAATGAGTGTTTGTTAAAATGGAATTTGATTAATATTTGCTTCCTTCTTTAGCTCTAATTCTCTATTTCCAAATATTTTATTTTTCTGTTTTGATGGCTTACACTGTGTGCTTTATTAATTAAACTTGCATCCCTTTTGTTGAGTAGGTTTTATTAAAAAAAACCCTTATGGTTTCATTTATAATATGTTTAAAATTTGAGCCCATCATCTCTATAGGAACATCAATAATTACCTGAATGTGTGTACAAACTCTATCCAGCAAAAGAAAAAAAATCTCCCTTTAAATCTCCTTCTGCTCGTTTCCTATTCCTCTTTTTTTCTGCTGCATCCATGATGGTTTCGCTTTTGGCTATGTCAGAAGTCACAGGAAAGGGGAAAGAAACCTTTTTCTTCCTCGCCTGGTACATACATTTATTTATTTCTTCAGCTTGCATGGCTCTAAGTACATATGGGAAATGTAAAAATAAATGAAAAACAATCATACAAACCCACAACACATATTGAAATAGCAGAACAGATTGAAGACAGCTGAAGACAGCAACCAGAATACTACCCTACTTCCTGTATAGATGGGCTCATTTAAGCACTTTAGTCCAATGCCCACACATCGGGCTTTAGAACCTTACCAAAGGCCAATAGATCAAGACTATAATAATCATTTGAGGCCAAACTCTTCCACTGGGCAGGTGTCACAACCACAAGCATATTTTCTGAGTCCCACCAAATGGCATAGCTTAACTTGAGCTTGGACTTAGAACATGCCAACTCCAGTATTCAGTTTGGTCAAAATTCAGTCCATACTTTCTTTGAACTGTGCAAATCAGGCAATCAAAAATGTTCTGCACCAACAAGTATTCCTATAGTCTAAAACGTAATTAGGGTTTGGATTTTATCCAAAATTATGTTTTGGTTTTCTTGGGTACGATTTGGTATTTCTTTCTACTTCTATTTCTACCCTTTCCCTAACAGATCATCTTTATAAATTCTGATATATGACTTTGTACGTTTGGAAAGTTCCATTTCACTGAACATTTTTTCAACTATAAAATGTTTGTGCTACCCTTGTGTTCTAAAGATAGCTCACTAAGTTCTATGGGAATTGGAACATTCTGATTTTGGGAAAATTAATTCAAAACCCCTTTGCCACAGCTTTTCCTATAACTGAGCATGAGGGAGGATAAAATATTCATACAATAAGGCAACTTATATCTACCAGAATGTTCAATCTATTTATGAGCATTCTGTGATAATCGCTTTCTAGTTTTACAAAAAGGTCTCTGAAGTAAAATTAAAATTTCATATACTACTTGAGTTATAGACAGTCCTCAATTTATGGCCATAATTAGACCCAAATTTCCAGTGTAAGTTGTAAGTTATTGTTGTAAGTTGAGGCATTCCCCTGAATGGATCTGATTTTTATGACATTTTTTGTGTTGCTCATTAGGAAATTCATGACCATCAAGTGAATGCCTAAATATGAATTCCTTCTTCTGTATGAGCAATGGCCAGAAATGTTTATGGACCATAAAGCACTTGTTCTGACCCTGTTGTAATTTCAAATGGTTGTTAACTGACCTGAGGATTATCTGTTTCAAACAATATTGTTTGTTAACATTTTGTACAATATATGTGTCCCATTGCTCTTCAGTGGTGAACATGTTACATGGTATACCTTCTGCACTGGGACCTGAAATGATGCAATAAGCAAAGAGGCAGCAAAGAGGAAACTTAACAGGCCATTGGCAAGAAGCTAACTTTGTGCTTCTGTTATTCATAATAGATTTTTTTATAACCATTATTTACACTGAAAGAGACCAGCGTAATTTGGAAGACAGAGGGTTATTAAATCTGATATGATAGACCGTAAGCCAACTGTAGGGGTACAAGCAATCCTCAATTTACAACAATTTGTTTAGTGATCGTTCAAAGATAAGACAACCCTGAAAAAGTGACTTATGACCATTTTTCATACTTATAACCATTGCAGCATCCCCATGGTCACATGATCAAAATTCAGATGTTTGGCAACTGATTCATCTTTATGATGCTTGTAGTATCCTGGAATCATGTGATCACCTTTTGCAACCTTCTGACAAGCAAAGTCAATGGTGAAGCCAGATTCACTTATAATCTGTGTTACTAATTTAACAGTTGCAGTGATTCACTTAACAAATGTAGCAAGAAGTATAAAATGGGGCAAAACTCACATAATAAATGTCTTGAATAGCAACAGAAATGTTGGGCTCAATTTTGGTCGTTGAGGACTGACTGTACAAAGTTGACCCAATACATATCCTAAGAATTTGGTTAAAAGCAAGGGTCCCCAACTCTTCAATTCATCAACCCCTCCATGAAGTTTCAGACAATCTATAGCTTCCCAAACATTTATTATATGAAAATGATTTAATAAATACTACTTTAACTAATAATACTACAAACAATAACAACTATAATGACTTCTTAAACTATGTAATATTTAAAGTATAAAAATATAAGATTTAACATACCTTTATTACTGAAACTGTTCACATTAATGGAAAGGATGCATGACATGAGCATCAACAAAGGCACTGATACTTGATTGGAGAATGTAGAGGTTGGGGAATATGCTCAATATGGGAGATAAACAGGAATACCATATGTACATGTATTCTACCCAGGAGAAGGGAGATGAGAGAGACAAGGAGGAGAGTGGAAGGCACATGGGTAAATGAGGCCAGCTGATAAAAATCATTCAAGGCAACTCTTGCTGGTGGCTGACCATCCAACCCTGAGTTACTCACTGCGAGCCCTGTCACTTTCAGGACTAGGGACTTACATGGAGTTCTACGGAGACCTGACCTTCAATCATTTATTGACCACCTATAAATCCTAGATATTTACTGACCTCCTTTGATACCCAACCATCTATCAACACCATGGATATTTAGTCTCAACCACACTTTGGGATTCATATTAACCCCTTTGTGGAACTCTGTTAACGATGTTGGCTTTTGTTTGCAATCTCTCTTTGTCATATGCTGCTTTTTCCTGTCTTACATCTTAGCAGAAAAAATTCAGTTGGGAAGAATAATGGAATAGCGGAATAGCGGAATAGCTCTGGACAATGCCATTTGGCTGATGATGCTATCAGTTAACAATATGCTACCTTTTTTTACAGGATGCTCTTTCCAGTTTTAATGAGGCTTTGTTGCTGCTAGGTGGCATTGAAAGGTATATTCCTAATACCTTTGAGGCTGCAGAATTATATTTTTTAATGGGCGAGTGCTACATGGAGCAAGTTTTTCTATTAGAGGTATGCATTTTGACTTTAAACTGGCTCAAAAATAAAAATTAGAACATTCCAAGAATTGCATGGACATCCAATTTATCCCTTTCCCATATTCACAAATTAGCAATTATGATTATTAACAGCCTGATATATTAAGGTTGTCTAAAGAGCTGTTTTTTCCAACCTGATATTCCCACCATTTGCTCTAATGTCTAATGAATCAAGGAAGGAGTGTTTTAAAGGGTGTTTTTCAGATTTGGAAAAACTTACTTAACCCAACTTTTGTCAAATTGCTTCAGTTGGCAGATTTCCTTCTCTTGAAGCCAGCTTTTGATCTGGCAAGTTAAAGTTAGTGTTGTCCCTAAATAGAATTTAATTGATATACTACTATTAATTTTCTACATGGTTGCTATGATTACTTCCTATTAAATATTATACAATATATCATTGATATATAGTTCACCTTTTTTCAGAAGATCTTCTTCACTGTTATTTGCTACTTTAAGCATTGTGTCTGGAAAGGTCATTGTTGTTGTTGTTGTTATTATTATTATTATTATTGGATCACAGTTTGGCATTGTTCCTTCCTCTCAATTCTCCTTTTAAAGATTATCTGCTTGATTGTGTGTGTGACACAATGATTATATATTCCTTTTATTTGTTTCTTATATGAATATTCAAATTTTATAGAAAAAAACTGTTAGGTGATTATCTATTTGTTAGAAGAACGTTCTAGTTTGATCCAGAATCAGTGACACAACTCTCAGATAATTTGCGGGCAAGCTCCTTAAAAAGAAAGATATTTTATCTGAGAGCATAGAGCTACTTGAGGTAGCTAGAATTTGGGGTGCAGAGACTGGTAATATTTACATGAAAGGTGGTCCTTTGTGAGGTGTCATAAGACAGCGCAGTAATAAAATTATTCCTGAATTAAAATTTATTCCAACATATTCATGGGAGAATATCTACAATCTTAATTTTAAAAGTTGCTTTATTATAATGTATCAATTATCAATTATCAGTCTTTGTAATAGCTCTATATCAATGGAGAGGCAAGACCAGAAAAATCTGATTCTATAATGTCTAGATTCAATTCATTATTTATGAACTATGTAAATCCCAATTTGGTAAAAAGAGAAAACCATGTAACCTTAGTAGTTCAGTAACTATTCCTTTCTTTCTAATTACGACAAATCCAAAGTATTGGTGTTCTCTAGAGCCCGGAAATTGTATAACTGGGCTATCAATGGTAATGCAGTTAAGCAGGTTTTCCATTTTAAGTATTTAAGTATTCAATTTCAGAACACCGGTGCTTGGACTAGACATCGAATCCAGGTGCTGAACTCGGCCTCCTGTAGTCATCAGCAGATTTTAAGATTTTTTTATACCCAAGGAGGCCTGTTTATTCCTTCTGCTCTGCGTATTTACAAAGCCAAAACTTTGACTCAAGCTCTTTACAGAATTCCCATATAGATACAGGACTTTAAGGATTGTATTGAAAGAGCCAAGGCTGTCTTTTTAAGAAAACTTCTGGATCTTCCTCCTTGTGTTGGTTTTGCTCCAATGTACCTGGAACTGGGCACTTGATCAGTCGAATGTATGGCGTGGATTAACACCTTTAAATGTGGTTTCGGGTGCTCTTTCTGACAGTTCCTGATAGCTACTGACGTTTGCTGACTCTCATATTTCTCTTTGGTAGAGGGAACTGATGAAGAAATTACACCTGCTAGGTTTTATGGGGGATGCCCTGGGAGATTATGGCCTTAAGGATGCCCAATTTAGGGAAGTCCAACAGCTTGTGGACATTGACTTGCAATATCTACGATCCAGAGCTAACAAAACTTGCTCCCCTCTGATCTTCAGCCAATTTAATAATTACGGACTGAGGATGGCCTCCTATTTTTACACTCTAACGATTCCCAAGTATAGAAGAGCTTTCTCCCTAGCTCGCTTTAATCTTCTGCCCTCAGCACTACTGGATGGGCGATATAAGAGGTTCCCGATTAACGAGTGGCTATGCCCCTGTGACAGAGCTGAGGTTGAAATTGTGGTGCGTGTCCTTTTATATTGCCCTATGTATAATGCAGGCAGATCTAAGTTACTGTCTCTCCTTGAAACAGACCCTGATTAATTTTCCCATGTTCTTCTTTTGTTGTACTTGTGTTTTGGTCTTTGACCGCAAATAAAGTATTATTATTATTATTATTATTATTATTATTATTATTATTATTATTA